AATTAAATTTACTAATTTAGTGAGTTCGCGAGCACGTTTTCAACACCGCCATGTTTTGCGATTTTTCATTTTTTTTTTTTGAATAGCTAAATGCCCTGAAAATTTACATATGTGTACTTCACATAATGCAAAACACACTAAAAAAGTTTCAAAAAGTAATAAAATTGTTTAGACTCCGAACTAAACTGAAAACAAAAAGTAAAAAGTGAAAAAAAACGTCGGCAAGCACGTTTTGACACCGCCATCTTTGGGGATTTGTAATTCTTATTTGGCTGAGCCAAATGACTTGGAAGTTTATAGGCGTGCACCTCACGTCATAGAGAACTCACAAAAAAACATTCAGAAAAAAAAAAAAGTTTTAGGCCCCGAAATAATTTTTGGCGGGGGCCGAACGCTGTCGGGTTCGGACACCGTACGGGCTAGTAACCCTGTATATATGTCATATATATCATCACAAACAGAACTTCCCGGTAAACCGTTGGCAGAGAGAGAGAAGAGGACAACAAACGAGGGGCTGTGACAGACTGTTTCGTCGGTATATATATATTTTTTATTTTTTTTTCAGTTTTTTAAAAATAAAATTTGGTAAAGAATTTTGATGTTACCCCAAGGCAAAAGTTGTTCAGTTTATTTTTCTGCATAACATAGTTTTTTTCCGTTTTTTTTTTTTCTTTTTTTTTTTTCAAACAAAACAAAACAGCCCCTTCTATTCTGGGGGGCATCAGTCCGGTTGCTTATCACCGGCAAGCCTGAAAACCAAAGTACAGTTTGATTGTAAGAGAAGAGGAAAGACTTACCCTTGCCGCCCTAGGCGTCTATCAAGGGGGGGACTGCTACAACCAAACCCACTTCCCATACCATAGCCTCCCCAGGGATACTTCTGTTGGTCGGGAAGCTTCCTAGCAGCACCCAGCCACGCAACAGATGGGTCCCCAGGGAAGGCCTGGCCCCGGGGGCTGTTCTAGCAATCTCACGGGCCTCTCATCCTGTCAATCCCTCCCTCTATACACCCATAAAGGTCGTCTAATCCTCGTCTTATTCTTGCAATAATCACCCTCATATCAATCTCCTTCTCTATTCAATGCTCTTTTTTGCACCTACCACCGAATGCCTCTTACACTCACCCTCATATTAATCTCCTTTTCTATTCAACGCTTTTTTTTGCACCTACCGCCGGATGCCTCCTATATCCTTAAGTCTCATCTACTTCTTAAACCTATCTCCTTCGTCTTTAGTATCTCCGCCACTGATCAAGCTTTCCAATCCTCAGATATTGACCTCGGCATTATTTACCCACCCTCTGGTTCAAAACCCGATCTAAGACCCGTAGGCCTCCCTTTTTCCACCTTGAGAAAACCTTCCCGAACACCTAAAGCCAGTAGGCCACCCTTATTCTAACATGTTTGAGTCTTGTCCCCAGCAGTATATTCAACGCTCCAATACAGTCCGTATCCATTCCTCCT